ATTAACAGAGGGATAGAATCAAGATCACGTGAAGTATTAATACCACTCTTCAATGCCTTGGTAAGGCCACACTTGGAATACTGCATCCAGTTTTGGTCACCACGATGTAAAAAAGATGTTGAGACTCTAGAAAGAGTACAGAGAAGAGCAACAAAGATGATTAGGGGACTGGAGGCTAAACATATAAGGAACGGTTGCTAGAATTGGGTATGTCTAGTTTAACGAAGAGAAGGACAAGGGGGGACATGATAGCAGTATTCCAATAGCTCAGGGGCTGCCATAAAGAAGAGGGAATTAAGCTATTTTCCAAAGCACCTGAAGGCAGGACAAGAAGCAACGGGTGGAAACTAATCAAGGAGAGAAGCAACCTAGAACTAAGGAGAAACTTCCTGACAGTGAGAACAATTAATCAGTGGAACAGCCTGCCTCCAGAAGCAGTAAATGCTCCAACACTGGAAGTTTTTAAGAAGAGACTGGACAGCTATTTGTCTGAAATGGTGTAGGGTTTCCTGCCTGAGCAGGGGGTTGGACTAGATGACCTCCAAGGTACCTTCCAACCTTACTACTATTACTATTACTATATATTTCCTGCTTCAAGATAGGAACAGGGCTGTCTCATTCTGGAAGTATCCCAAGGCAGAAACAGCCTCATTTCAAGTGAAAGCACCAATTCCAAACTTCAAATAATTGTTTTCATCTTGAAACACATCCAGTCTGGACAAAATGCCCTAATTTGGGCTTGAACCAACTGTTCCAGATTCAGAATAGTGTTCCTCAACCTCAACATGTTCTGAATTTGAAATGTTTAATCTACATCTACTTCTTCTAATTTTAGTTATTATTACATAAGTATAAATTAAAAGTGTATTTGTGTGTGTCCATGTGTGCATAATTCCTGGCTGTATTTCATCTCAACATGTAGTCCTCAGTGGAATTGCATCTACATGGAGGGAAGTATGCAGTGAGGTACCCCAAGGCTCTGTCTTAGGATCAGTATTCTTCAATATCTTCATTAATGATTCAGATGAAGGGTAGATGGGGAACTCATCAAATTTGCAGGCACAAGCTGGCAGGAATAGCCAACACTCCAGGTTTAAGATACAGAAGGATCTTGACAGATTTGAACACTGGGAACTATCTAACAAAATGAAATTCAATGGAGAAAAAGTAAGCTTCTACATTTAGGCAAGAAAAACAAAAACAAATGCACAGGTATAGTATAGGTCAGTGATGGCGAACCTATGGCACGGGTGTCAGAGGCGGTACTCAGAGCCCTCACTGTGGGCACACATGCCATCGCCCCAGTCCTAGGCCTTCAGCTGGGTTTTATAAAACCTTTTCGCTTTAGGCCTCCACTGCCGTGTGCAAAAAAAAAAAAAAAGGTTCAATCAATCAATCAATTTCAATTTCTCTTGGGAAAAAAAAATCTTGCAAAGTTGGAATTGATTGAACTTTTTAGTCCCACCCAGTCTGCCGTTACCACCACAGCCACGCCCACCCAATTGGCCACACCTACCCGGCACCTGACGATGCATAAGTGTGTTTTGGGTTGCAGTTTGGACACTCAGTCTCTAAAAGGTTCACCATCACTGGTATATTAAGTTGGCTTAATAGGAGTCCTAGTGGACATTCACTTAAATATGAGCCAGCAGTGTGCTGCAGCTGCCAAAAAACCAACACAGTCCTAGGCTACATTAACAGAGCGAGAGAATCAAGATCACGTAAAGTGTTAATATTATTTTATAATGCCTTGGTAAGACTACACTTGGAATACTGCATCCAGTTTTGGTGGTTCTAGGAAGAATGCAGAGAAGAGCAACCTAGATATTTAGGGGACTGGAGGCTAAAATATATGAAGACGGTTTCTGGAATTGGGTATATCTAGTTTAATGAAAAAAAGGATGACATAGTAGCAGTGTTCCAATATCTGAGGGGCTGCCACAAAGAAGAAGTGGTCATTTTCCAAAGCACCTGAAGGCAGGACAAAAAGCAAAGGAGAGAAGCTAATCAAGGAGAGAAGCAACCTAGAATTAAGGAGAAATTTCCTGACAATTAGAACAATTAATCAGTGAAACAACTTGCCTCCAGAAGTTGTGAATGCTCCAACACTGTAAGTTTTTAAGAAGAGACAACTATTTGTCTGAAATGATATAAGGTGTCCTGCCTGAGTAGGGAGTTGGACTAGAAGACCTCCAAGGTCCCTTCCAACTGTGTTATTCTGTTCTGTTCTATTCTCAAATGTTTCTCTGAACGCGTGTTTTAATATTTTAGAACAAATCAATTTGAAACTGACAAGACTTCTTTCAAGGTTTTTGATATACATGATTTAATCAGGTTGATACATACAATATAACCTGTCTGAGTCTACATGAAAATTATTGCAGAGTAAGAAAGAGATGGATTTCTTTCAAAAGAAATCAACATTTTCATTGATTTCAATACTGGAATTGAATACAAATACTACAGATATCTATTTTATTTGATATTATTGTCCATAATATGTTTTCTATGAATGATGAGATAATTTGGATAATGAAAAGACTTATTTTATCAGCAGAAAAAATGTTTTCAACATTGTTTCTGAAAGATGAACTGTTATGCTTATACTTGCTTCTATCTTATATTAATTGCATTTTTTATATTATTACACATCATAAACAGTTATAAATCTGGAAAAACATCTGTCCTTCTGAATTGTCAGTAAGGATAACCTAGTATTTATGGGTATAATCATATTACAAATTAAGTAATTGTATTCAAAGCTATACATAATACTGTACACTTGTATATATATTCTATTGGCATAAATCTGAAAACTTTCAATTTTAAATCCATCTACAAATTATTCTACAACCTATTTATGTGTTTGTGTATACATTTCATAAAATTATGAAAGGCCTACTAGACCTTAGCCCAGAGGTCCACAACCTTTTGGGCACCAGGGACCAGTTACGTGGAGAAAGATTCTTCCGTGGACCGGAAGGGGCATGGTTTTGTGTGCTGCCTGCATCCAGAAAAGGCTTTGCTTCTTTGTATGGCCCAGTTGCTGGCATGCTGCAGCCAGGTATGGGTCCACAGATCGGGGTTGGGGACCCCTGTCCTAGCCCTAAAAAAAGAAAATGCTCTTTCCATTAGAGAAATGGCTTTAATTGCTTAGACATGGAAGGTTTGCTACAATTTGTAATCAAACGTAATTTTTTCAATGTGCTGATCTCCTGAAGAACATAATACGATCTTGAACATAAGCATAAGAACACAAGTCCTGTTGGATTAGAACTTTGGCCCATTTAGTCCAGCAGGCTGTTTTTGCAGTGGCCAATCAACTACACAAGAAAGTCCACTCGTCTCTCTTGCATCTGGTCTACAAATGTAGCTACATTGCAATTAAGGTTAATATTTGTTTATCTCCGTGACTTCCATGAATTGGTGCAGCCCTTTTATGAAGCCCGCCAAGATGATAGTCAGTACCATATCTGGAATGAATTTCTCCATCTGGGAATATATATTTGGTAGTAGATACAGTATTTTATGTGGCATACACTTATACTATCATTGATAGTGGGTACTACATTATATTTTATTTATATTTTCAATCATTCATTCATTCATTTTGTAAAGCTGCCTGTGTCACATTTGTGACTCATATATAATACTCATCCATCTTAATAACCATTATTTTGCTATTCCTTTTTTATCTAATAATAGTTTCAATGACTAACTCATCAAAATATGAATACAAATAATAATTTTCCCCATCTGTGAAAAGAGAACTTTTTTTCCTTTTACCTAAGAATAGCCTTTTTTTTAGATCGAATCATAATAGGCCATCTACAGGGCAAGCCCAAAAAAAAATATTCTGCATATCAGAGCTTTTATTATTTAGAAGAAACTCAAATAGCATGATTGACACATAGCATTCAGAAACCTAGATAGTTGTTTTCTACTCACATCTTTGCTCCTTTTAACATAGTATTTTAACACTAAAAATGTTGGCTGCGGCTCTTCAAAATGTAGGGCAAGGATTTGCTAATTTCTCTTTTCCTAAAGCTTTGAGCACTACAATAACGGAACATCACATATTAAAAGTCCCAGGAAATCGAATTTCCTAAACATTTAAATCCTTAAAGTGAGTAACAGCTACTATAAAAAAGTTACCTTTCCCAGAATTCCTAGAATTTATACTGCTGATATTACAGGATTTAAAACAAAAAAGAAGAGATTTATGCAGCTAGTTTTCATTTTATATTACAGAGAAGTCTGAAAAAATGTTTTGCTTTATATGGACAAACTTGAATTCCTGGTCAGTTAATATAAATTTTAGAAATGAGACTGCTTAATGTATGATCCACCATAAAACAGTTCATATATTTAATATGTGCTTTATCCAGATACAAAAAAAGCTATCTTGCATACTTATTGGGGAAACATTTACATCTAATTTGTGGAACAGTAGCCTAAATAGAAATGTTTTATTATACAAAAAGCATTATCTGAATCATTTTGCTAAATTAAGAACTGTGGGGAGTCTGCACCACATGGGGATCATTATTTTAATAAAAAGAACATTTTTGTCCCTGCACAAGTTCCTCTATTCCAAACCACAGCATTCTTACACACCATTCTGGATTAATTTTAATGCTCTCAGAGCAATAAAAAAGCAAGCTCATTCAGTATGACAAACAACAAATTTCCAACAGAGAAGCGAGTACAAAAGACAGAACAATCCCATTGTCTGTAGGCATAAAAGCAAGGGCCATGAACACGTTATAATTTGCATTTCCTGTCACCCATGATTTGAAAATATTGGTTCACATATTAATATGAAAAAACAATTCAGAAACAGCGTCCATGGGTAACATAATAGAAGGGATTTCTGTGTGTTCCATTTCTACCTATACATGTACAACAGCAGGTTGTCAGATTATTTTCTGATATTCATTTTTTAAAATAAACACAATCACTTTAAAATGAAATGAACAAAAATAAAATAAAATACTCACCAATTCCCTAGGATGGAATGCTTCTTCTTGACGAAAAATTAGTAGGCTAACCGATCCACCCATTTTAGTGCTTCTCAGGAGAGAAACAACTTCTTCTTGGGTTTTTCCTGTTAAATCCACTCCATTTACCTAAAAGAAAGGGGGGAGGGGAAATCTTAAAGTAGCCATAGCAAAGAATGATGTTATAATAGATTAGCTAGTACTGAAGGTTAACTTTGAACAGAACAAGTATCCTTTATCATTGTTTAACGCTGAAACATGCCTTACTTGTGTATAAATCCAATTCGAAATGTTTCTATTTAAGTTTAAAAAATGGATCATGCTATCCCTCAGATCAGTTACTCAGACACTTAAACTCCACAGCTGACTTAGCAAACTGTAGATTTCATTATTACCTTGGTTATGACTGCTCAGCATTCAACTACAAAGAGAAAATGCTAATTAAAAAGAGGTAATTGCTTTTGCTCTCTTCTGATCTTTCTAGCACAATCCATGTTTACTCCTTGAGCCGATTTCCTTTTCTTTATATAATAAGGTTATTAGCTATTTACCCATCACAGTGATAAATAAATCACCAAAGGTTGCTAGATATCATCAAAATTATAACCAGATTTCCCAATTACACTAAAAAGTAATATAGTCTGTTTGGTTTTGTGCAGGCCCAGCCAAGGCTAGTATACAGGACCAGCCAAGGCTAGTATACAGGAAAAGTCACAGTTAAATACATTACGATTAAGCATGAGTGTGTCATACTCCATAGCCCACAGGTAAGATTATCAGCTATCTTAACAGACAAAGAAGGATTCCGAGACGAAATGGGTCGGGGGGGCACACTAACAGTTTAACTTTCTTAGCACCTATGACAAAAATTTACAACAAAAATTGGGGGGAAAGTTGCTTAGGCCTATATGTATAAGAAATTACTTTTTTCAGCATCAGAAAGAATGACTTTGTCAATCACAATGTTTTTTCCAACAAATCTTTATTTTAAAGAATATATGTCAGCTATAAAATAGAATCTTCAATGGTGCAACAGAAATTTTATTATAGAAATATGACTCTACAGACTATAATAAACATAAATTTGAAAGGGCTAGATTGAAGCCAACTCTTGAAATTAGAAAAAAATAAATAAATCCAGGCTACCAAATCTGTCAATAGATAAAAGAAAGTAGACAATTATTAATATTACAATACAAAGTTTGAATTACTGCTATGAAAAACAAAACAAAAATCCTAATATACTCAAAACACCAACAATAGTCCAATCTCCTACCCAAGGCAGGGAGTCCTGTATCATCTTGGACAAATTCTGGGAGGCAAGCTGTTCCACTTATTAATCATTCTCACTCTCAGAAAATTCCTCCTTATTTCCAGGTGGGATCTTTCTCTGATCAGTTCCACCCATTATTTGTTGGCCTGCCCTCAGGAGCTTTGGAGAATAAATCAATCCACTGTTCCCTGTGATAGCCCTTCAAGTATTGGAAGACTGCTATCAGGTTTCCCCTAAGCCTTCTCTTTATTAGGCTAAACAGGTTTCTTCCTATGACTTAGTTTCCAAACTGATTATTATCTTTGTTGCTCTTCTCTGCACTCTTTCTAGGGTCTCAGCATCTTTTTTGTATCATGAACAGAACTGAATACAATATTCCAAATGTGGCCTCAGCAGTGCAGTACTGAGCTGTATTATCTGTTCTCACAAGCTTGATGCATCTTAGGACTGCATTGGCTTTTCTGGCAACTGCAACACACTGCTGATTCATATTTAAGCAGTGTTTCACTAGAATATCTAGATCACTGGGCACAACTGTTGAGCCAGGTACTGCCTATGTGTATCTGTGCATCTGGTTTTTCTGGCCTAGATGGCCTTTTCTTACCATTGAAATCTTTTTTGTTGGATAGGGCCTAATGTTCAAGTCTTGTCAAGATCCTTCTAAATCTTGAATTTATCTTCCAAGTTGTTAGTAATCCTGTCCACCCACAGACACAGTTTAGTATCATCCACAAATCTGATGAGTGCCCCTTCAATTCTCTTATCTGGACCATTTATGAGGACATTGTTATTGTTGAAAATTTACTAATAGGCTAAACCAGACCACATACATGTAAAATCAAGTCATATTGAGGTAAGCAAGTAAGAACTAAGCTCCAGAGAAAAGAAAATATATTAAATCAACTATATTAAATATATTAAATCAATGACAGTCACCGCTATTTAAAACTCTCCTTATAGAAATGTTAACATCTCATCATCTTCTATCTTGGAACAGGAAATCCATTAGCATAAATAATACATTCATATGTTGCAATACTGCTAAATTGCCTGAAAACTTAAACATACTTAAGTAAATTTCAGTGAAATTAAATGCATGAGCAAAAAAAGCTATTGGATTTTATTATAAACTGGAACCTGGCTCTTTATGAACCACCATAAAAGGTCTCCACTATTGCAAAACCAGCATGCCCAAAGAACAATCCAGATGCCTTTCCAAGTGGAAAACAAGATCATTAAGAGAATCTCCAAAACCTCCACATGCAAATCTTTCTGTTTCTTATTTCCTTACAGAGAATCGTGTGAAGCTTGACAGATTTAGTTAGTTCTGGTGCAGGGTGATTGATTTCATAGGCAATGAATGTGTAGAACTCAGAATAGCAAAAAGGCACAATTTAAACTGAGATACTTTAACCTGGAATCTTTCAGCTCTCAGTATTCTAAGAATTCCACATTTTTCATTAGTATAGTTTAGCAGATCCTGGTAGGAAGAGGTATAGAAAGATCATTAATTTAAAATAGTTTTCATAGTAGCCTCTATACTGTGGAACCTCCTTTGATCTGGATACAGCAGCCCTCACCACCACCACATTAAGAATGGTTTTTAAGTTAAATATTTGTGCCTAAATACTGGGATAGATATGTTTGGAGCCTAGGATTGTGTGGATTTATGGGTACAAATGGTGGATAAGGTATCTGATTTGTTTGTTGTTTTTCCGTGTCTGTTTTTTTAAAGTCATTATGAACAACTCAAGAGTTGTGTTTTACAAAATGCAGTTAATTAATAAAGAGACAAGCTAGTCTTTATAAAAGAAGTGGATCAAGATTCATTACTGAAAACAATACAAACTTATGATGGACTTTAAAATTCTTTAATCCATAAGCTATCATCTGCTTCCACATCAATCTACTTTTTCATTAATACTTTCAACATTAATGTATGTGAGATATGATAATATGAGAAACAAGCTTCCAGACTAGGAAATACTCTATTCAGGGAGGTTTGCCTGACCAATGCCTTGTTATATATTGTTTCATATCAGATTAAAAAAATGAATTTATATACAGATTTTAATAATTTTATGGTGCTTCATAAGGATCGTATTTTATTTTAAAATATGTATTGCTTTTGGGGAAAACCTATTTCAAAAGTGAATAAAGGAATTAGACCATAAAATTCTTTGGGCATGGAGAAGGTACATGGACTTTGCTTCATTCTAATACAGAATTCTTCCTATTGTTACAGTATAAATATAAACAGTGTCTACAGAGGCATAGAATAATTGGAATGCTGTCTAATTTCATTTTTTTAAAAAGAAATATACAATGTTTAACTATAAATAGTAATGATGGAACCAATCTGAGATACAATTTATTCCTGGGAACAATTTGCTACAAGCCTCCTGTTATCTTAATATTTTAAGGTATAATTCTCTAAAGTGCTCAATACTCTTTCAAATGGTAGCTATTAGACTAAACATTAGATGATTTTCATTGTAGAAAGAATAAACATTATTGTATATTTTCCTCTTTGTTTTCTATATCTTCCTGTGTGTACTGCTAAGAAAAGAAATGAATCCATGAAATTAGCACCCTCCTGCATTAAAAGTGGTTGCCATATTTTATAGCAATGCCATATCATAAACATCACAATAATAATATAGTATTAGATCCTCCCATACAACTTTGTCAAATCTATCCAGAACTGTTTCTGTTCTGACAGACTATGACCATTACCTCTATTCATTTTTTTAAATACTGACCACACATATATAATGCTTTATATATAAAATTTGTTCCTCAAATTCATCACCATCCACTATTTGTCCCTTGTTAGGTTAATCTATTTTTTTTTCTTCCAGTGAACTGTAAAGATCAAATCATTTCATCTTTCCAGATATCGGTCCAAAACTACAGCTTAGAGAGTTTGATCCAAGACACATAATTTGTGTCATTACAAAAATGCTTATCAGATATGGTACAAATATTAAGACTAGATAAATTCCTACTGTTCTATGCTACTAAAATAATTTTCCCCAAAATTGTTGCAATGAAACAGATTCTATTTTTTAAAATATCTTCAGCTTTTGTTACACCTATTCAATAAATAATTTGCTATAGGAATTAAACTGAGATACAAAGCCTTATGTCTTATCCCGAATAAATTGTTGCAGTTCATTATTCCTTATGACAATCTATTAAAAATATAGCAACATCTTACCAAAAAGGTTGATATTTCCAATTATTTTCTATGAATCAAGCCTGGTGCATCCATCCTATATATATATATATATATATATATATATATATATATATATATATATATATATATATATATTAAAAAATCTCTCTTTTCTAAATGAGACAGATGCTCTTTGTAAAGCAAATTAAGATATTCCTGTTTATTAACATTGTTATTCTGAAAATATGAAAATCAGAAGACAATACTCTAGAAACCTGGCAGAGGAGATGAGTGGAAAAAATTAATTGGATTGCTACATAACTCATATAAAAGTAAGTTGCTTGCCAAAAGGACTTATAAAATTCCCAATAGCATTGTGACATTTCATCACCTCAATGAGTCGGTCTCCAGCCTTTAATCTTCCATCTTGAATAGCTGCGCCTCTTGGAAGGATATTTTTCACATAAATTGGAGCTGAGCCACCAATAGGAACATCTCTTGAAGTGATGCTAAATCCTAGGCCTTCAGTACCTATAGAAATTATTTAAAAGTATTGTCAGCTTATTCTGTGCCTCTGCATTATCAGAAATTTTGGATTTACATAAAGCTACCTAAGCATCCATATTTTCTTTCTATAGCTCATCATATTTAATAAATACAGTCTGATATGGTTTTTCAGTATCACAGTGTGCATATAGGTCTGACAACCATATCAGACAGTTTCAATAACAATTCTTAATATATTTTTGTTTTTTTCAATACTGTAAATAAATGAACAAGTGTAAGATTCCTCATTTATTTAATTGATCTAGCTTTAGTACTTTTCTTGATTCTCTTGATCTAGCTTTAGTACTTTTGTGTAAGGGAATAGATCACATTTTAGATCCTATTTATGCAGAAATACTGAAAATTCAAAAAGGTTCACAAACTTCTAAGCCCCACTATATGGAGTCATTCCAATAATATTTCCTGGTCCATGATCTCAAAGGCTGGGAAGAAATCCAAGAGAATCATACAGTAGCAATCTCCCAGTAAAGATAATTAACCAGGATAACAAAAGCTATTTCAATTCTGTATCAAGACCTAAAACCAGATGGAAATGGATTTAAATTATGAGCTCTGTATAATCACTAACCTACTGAGAATAGTGGGGCTCATTCTACACAGAATTTTATAAATTGCTATTTTAGTTCCAGGCTTCGAAATAGATGTCGCATCGTTATAAAGCAGATTATAAATTGTGTAAAATCTTAAGGAAGCTATGAGTTTGTGTAAAATCTTAAGGTAGCTATGGGTTTGTGTATATCCAGTTTGATTAAAATTGTCCTTCTTTCACATTGTTTAATCCAGCCATCTTCCTCCAGTGTCTCAAAAGAAGGGCTACACAGATCCACAAAGAGGTAATGAATTTAAATGGTTAAACTCATGTTCCTCTTTTACCTGGGGGACACAGGCTTGCTATCTGTCAACAACTGTTCTTTTTTGGCCTGCACAAGTTGCATGGAAAAGTGACTCCTGAAAGACATCAGGAAATTCTGCTCCCCAGTTTTATCTACACAAGCCCACTGAAAGTCTAGTTTTAGCCTGATTAATTTTTTTAAAAAACAAGATTTAAAATATGGCCTGAAACCTGCTCAGTGTCTCAAAAGAATATGCACATAGTGAGCATATAGAAGAAACCAGAAGTTGCCTAATCAGAGCACGAAATAAGGCTGTACTATATGATATTTCCAAATGGTGTTCCAAATGTAATTATTTCCAAATGGATATAGCAAGAAAGGGCTAGTTTAAAAAAAACAACAGGAAGAACTGATCATAACAGCCCAAGAAAAAACATCAAGCACCAGATCTTAGAAGCAGGGGTCTATCCAAGGTGCAAACTGTGCAGAGAAGCCTCAGTCCAATTCGTAGTGGCAGGCTATAAAATGCAATCAGGAAAAGTGTACAGGCAATCCTAGACTTATGATCATAACTGGGTCCAGAATTTTAGTTGTAAGTTTTGGTCTTTGGTAAGTCATTGCACTTGTTAACAGAGATGCCCACATGATCACTTCACTCAATAACCGCAGTCCTAGCTCTCTTAGTTGTGTTTGTTAAACAAACAGAAAAAAAGAGTCCATGCCAAAAGGGACCATGGAAAGTAACTCCTGTGGTGGACTGGAGAAATGAAGTTTGGATAGTAAAATATCTGAGCTTCCTTTTTCTTGCCCTTCCATCTAGGAATGGAGAAAGATAACTCAAATCTTCAGAATCTAAGCTTCCTTTCTCTAACTCTCCTCTTTGCATACTGGCTTTCTACATAGAAAGCTAATGAATACATGTTTCTGAAGAGTAGAAACATCAACTTTGGTAGCTTTCTAGTCAGAAAGGAGGAGGGAGAAGTAACAGGAAGCAGAACAAGACTTTCAAGGCTACAGAAGCTTTTCACATCCTGGTGGGCCAGGCGGGAGGAGAGTTGCAACAATCCCTATAGTTGTAAGGGTGGCACATTACCAAGTGCCTGAATTTTTATCATGTGACTACAGAGGCATTGCAATGGCTGTAACTTTGGGCAGCAGTCATAACTCCTTTCTTTTAGCACCATTCATATTTTGGAATAGCCCCTGAATGAATAGTCATAAATTGAGGATTATGTCTATGGTGATCAGTATAACCAAGCAAGTGGCATTGTGTACAGGAATATCTGCACAGTGAATGGACTAGACCAGGGATCTTCAAACTTGGCCCTTTTATGACTTGTGAACTTCAACTCCCAGAATTCCTTAGGTCCAGATGGGAGATTTCACAGAATGTTGTGGAGAAAAACAGGACTAAGATCCTGTAGAACTTCCACATTCAGATGGATAGGCAAGGACTGGCCAATTAACCAGGCACTGTGTAGTAGACAAGGACTAGAAAACAGTGATGGTGATAGATGTAGCAGTTCTGAGTAATAGCAACATCTGTCCACATGCCCAGCAGACATTTTGAAAAATATATTGTACATTTTAAAAGTTCCCTTCATTTTCTCTCTTCACTTGAGTTTATGCAGAAAGGAAACTTGTACAGCATTCAGTCATTAAGAGACTATTATCTCCTTTAATCTCCATGTGGAACCAGCTGAGGTCTTTCCAAGTTTTCATCTTCTTTTGACTTAAGTGCTTGTGAACAATAAAAAGCGACACTTTTCTGCAATGAATGTTCTTTGCAGCTTTGGGTTTAATTAATTTTATTCTTACTTTGTGTGCTGAGGCCTCATAGAGATCTCACCTAAATCGTGAATTGATTGCTTAATATCTTCCATTTCTCGCATTATAGTTTGCTATGAACAGAAATAATTCTGGATCGAAGTAGTGGAATTTTAATTAGTTTTCTACTTTAAAGATTTGATTAATACACTTATATTGAGGCATTCCCAGAGTGAAAATTCTCAAAATATGTGTCAGTGAGGAAAGTCTTTTAAAAAAGTGCATTCTGAATTGAACGAACTAAGCATTTAAAACCAAACTGAACTTTTCGGAGTTGAAACCATTTGTACTTTAGCAATGGATAATTTTTAGGGAAAATATCTGCCTTTGGACAGAGTGAAATACAAGCAATTATTTTGTTTAATTCTAATTCAATTTATTTATAATATTTATTTGCTTTTTTAGAGTATTTTTAAATTGGCTTATATGCAAAAGCCCACTCACATTAGATTATAACAATAATAATGCATTATAAAAATTATTGTTGGAATAAGACAAGGTATGGAAGAATGCATAGAGAATGATTAACTCTGAAATCACCCTTGTTTAATATTCATAAGTAATGTTCATATTTGAGAAAAAGTAACAGGTATGAACATAGTCGGTACACCCCACAATAATCTATTTATTTGCAAAACTGACTAATGAAAAGAGGTTATGTCAGAATGAGTAGGAGGACATTCCATTACAGACCAGTACAGAGTTTGCAGAAATACTTGAAAATTTAGAAAAGGGGCGATTAAAAGACTGAGAAATCAAAGTGGAAATACAAATGAAAAGCCAAAAGACTGACCTCAAAAGGGACGTTTTACTGAACTTACGAAAGAAGTTGATTACAAAAGTCTTTCATATGGGAAAAAGAAAAATTGAAGATCAAATCCTACCATAAATAGTATCTGAATGATTGTTAGAAACAAAATGAAGTCCTTGTACCCTCCCCCTTCCCATCAGTGTCCAGCCCACAGAGGCTTCACAGTTGGTTTGTTTGATCAAGTTTAGAATGAAAAATATTTGTAAAAACATGGGATCCCTTTATGGAATATTTCCTAATCTTAAGACTAATGTTGTATGGATAAGGGATGGGTTATGGAAAAAGAAGATGATTGCATCTAACATTGTAGGAGGTGATGAATTGGGTTTTTTTGTATTTGTGAAGAAGATTGGAAGTCACTCCTTTAAATATTTCTTTTTCTTACTCTTTTATTTTTCTTTTTTTCCTGTATATATTTTATTCTTTTTTTATTTTTCTCTCTGAATTTTTGTATTTTTTTTATTATTGTTATAAAAAGTATAGAATTGTTTTTGAAAAAGCAATACTAGACTCAGAAATGGGCAACATATTTGGTATTAGAATCAATGAGTTGTGGTGGCTCATTGGTTAAAATGTAGTAGTGCTCAGAATCAAACTCACTGCAGGAGTTTGATTCTGAGCAGCTCAAGGTTGAATCAGCATTCCATCCTTAGGTAAAATGAGGACCCACATTGTGTGTGGGGGGGGTGGAGAGGGGGCAATATGCTGACTCTGTAAACTGGTTAGAGAGAGCAATAAAGCACTGTGAAGTGGTATCTAAGTCTAACTGCTATTGCTGTTTTCACAATGAACACCTTTTTTACTATCCAGTTTGCTTAAAATTGTAATAGTAGCAATAATACAGGGACCTATCATCTTTACAAGAACAACAGCAACAACAATAATACTCAGTGTAAAACAGCAATTGAGAACATTATCTTCTATTATTTTTCCTTCAAGAAAATAACATTCTGAGAAGATTTTGTAATACTGTTTAAGCAAAACAACAGACTGTAAGCATATTAGAAACTACTCAATTTCTAATGGGGCCATAGGCAGCACAAATACATTTGGGGATTGTTTGTGTGTATAAGGGAAGATAAGTCATTATGACACAAGTTTCTAACTGTCAGCTTACAGTATTTGGGTATACAGTGCTGAATGTCAGGCAACTGAAATGGTTAAGGTCTGAGGGATAAACATATCAGGAGAGATTGGAAGAAGTGAGTATGTATAGCTTAGAAGACAAAAGAAAAGGAGTAACAATGATTGAAATTTTTAAATATATTAAGGATGTGAATAAGGTGCTAGAAGACAGAATTTTCAATATTAAGTAAAAATCAAGAACCCATGGAAAAGACAGGAAGTTCAAAAGTAATGTTAGAAGGTATTACTTAAAAGAAAGAGAAGTGGAAGCTTGGAAACAATTTCCAGAAGATACTTGGGATAAGCATAGGTTTATCTGATAAAAATAAAAAAATTAAATAAAAAATAATAAAAAAAATAAATTAAAAAGAAAACAAAAACAAATAAAATTCAAAGGGCAAACTCAATGGATTATTGGATCCTTTTCTGTGTTTCTATGTATGCAACATGGTCTTGTTCAAGAACTTCAGTTGCTTTTGAGTGATAGTCTGAAGACTGCCTTCCACAAAGTAGTGGATTGAATCAAAACATTAAAACTAAATTTTACTTTATTTTATTTTATTGACTTATCATAGAAATCAAATATATCAATGCTTTTCAATCATGCATTTAATATTTTCCCTTTTCTGGCATTTAAAAAATTATAATTCGCAACAATTTTAGAGATCTCTACTGTCTGTATTTGAAGGTTTTGATAATCAAAAGTTTTCTGTTACAATAGGGACCATATAGAAACATTAAGGATCTAATTTCTCTGTTATCATATACCAGGTTGCAGTTTTTCAACTGAGAAATAAATGTTCCATGATGTTTGAAGCAAAAAGAAAAGGTATAGGAATGTGACATAAAAATAGAGCAATGATGGCAAGCTGATTACAGGCCTATTTATTCTTTGCTGTTTTCCCCAATAAGGTGCAATCCCATTCTGATTTTAGTGAATTGTTCATCAAACACAAATAATATTGTTTACTATGTTTTATTAGAAGTCCATTATATGCAAACCATTATTCAGGGAAGTTTTGCAATATCACATGGATCAAGGCTAAGTAAATGTTTTGTTTAATTACATTATTTGCAAGACTAAGATGCCGTGCTTTTCAAATCCTTTTATACTGGTGATCCACAATCTAGAATTGCATGTAGGCAATCACAATAATTGTATCTGAAAATGACCAGTTAGAAACTTGAACTGGTCATCTGAAAATGAAAGTTCTGCAGCTGCATGTGCAATCAAAATAATTACACAAGTATTTGCTGGAATTGTTGAGAGAATATGAGCCATTCTGTACAATGCCTATAAAAGGATATGTCCTTTAGAAATGCAATCATAAATAGTCCTTTAACTGGAAAGATAAACTATTTTCACCCTGCTTAAATACTACAGCATTATTTTCACTACTAAGCCCAGCACTGGAGTTTGAAAAATGCCATGTGCTTGATGGGAAAAGGGATAAGAGTAATAAAGATAATCCTTGATGGGACTGAGATGTGAATCTAATTCTCAAAAGTTCTTTGATACATTATATTAAGTTTTAAATATGCAAACATCAGAGATATGATTAGAAAAGCACTCAAGCAGCGAATCTGCTGGGGTGGGTGGTTATAATAAATGTAAAAAATGAAATAAATAAATAATATATAAATACATTTCCAAAAACTCTAGCAATTTTGAAGAACCAAACGTGGCGAAAGTACACTTTTTGCTCCCATTTGCATTGTCCACCATGTTTCTCCATCCCCCATATCTTTTTCTCTTTCATACTATGCTTTATGTTACATTCAATGTTCACAATGCCACTCAAAATGATTGACACAGAGCCATTTTAATATCAGTCTCAATCCACTTCATGTGTGATGCTTTAAGATCTAAGGGTTCAACACTGTAGTATATAAGAAAAGCGCTGCACTCATGGAAGTGTCTGCAAGAATTGACCTTAGATTATATGAGCTACAAAGATTGGCAGAACGGAAAAATCCTAGTCATATTAGAACATCACCAATAACTGCTAAATCTGTCTGCTAGACGTTCAAGCCCCGACCTTTAACAAAAGATAAATAGATATCAATTTTCATTTAGAAAAAGCCAACAAACATTCTTCATTGACAGAAGCATATTACTGACCTTCTCTTCTAACTTTATTAAATAACTAATTCCTATGAAAGATCAGGTTATTTGAAAATGCCAAAATGGCAATAAATATTAAGAAATTATAATGGAAGTAAGCACAATTACTGCAAGAGTATCCCATTTTGTCATTTTAAACAATATAGCTTATACAGCTTGTAAAAATAGATCTTTAATGAAGACTCTTGTACAGTATACTAAGTATATTCTCTTAGTCTTCTCCATTTATATCATAATTTGAAATTGAATGGTTAAATATGGAAAGAATTACAAAAATATGATAATTCTCTCTCCCCCCTCCCTCCGTCCTACATACATACACACAAAAACAAGGAAATTTTAACTTAATGATGTTGCTAGTAGATTAAATAGCATGTTAGGCTTCCTTAAGGCCTGTTGTATTATGATATCCTTTACTAAAAACAAAGACAATCAAGTGTTTGCTCGGGGCTATTTTAAGCTAGGTCAGTGGTGGTGAACCTATGGCACGGGTGTCAGAGGCGGCACTCAGAGCTCTATCTGTGGGCACGCGCACCGTCGCCCCAGTCCTAGGCCTTCAGCTGGGTTTTATAAAACCTTTTCGCTTTAGGTCTCCACCACTGTGTGCAAAAAAAAAAAAAAAAAAGGTTCAATCAATCAGTCAATTTCAACTTCTTGCGGAAAAAAAAAATCTTGCAAAGTTGGAATTGATTGATTGAACATTTTAGTCCCACCCAGTCTGCCATTACACCGCAGCCACGCCCAGCCAATGGGCCACACCCACCTGGCACCCGACAATGCATAAGTGGGTTTGGGGTTACAATTTGGGCATTCGGTCTCTAAATGGTTCGCCATCACTGAGCTAGGTTATCCTTCATTTGTGGTACCACATGTACATTTTTCTACACAATCAAATGGGAATTATGGCACAAGGCATATTTCTACCCAGAGTGAACCTTAACTCTGTTGGAAGGGGCCCAGTTGCTATAAAGAGTGAAAGAATTTATTTGCATCACACATCCTGATTGCTATGTTGTATAATATACAATACTGCAGTTTTGTTCTAAATCAGACCTGTACAAGGTATAGGAGAAAAAAAGCCATACTGATCAATGAAAAATCCCGGTAGCCCCCAAAGAAATACCTGAATGTAAATCACGTGTTCAATGGCTAGCAAGCAGCAATGCTGGTGAATGTATTGACTTTTTTAAAAATGCCAGGGGACCACATTAGGCTTCTTGGTAGGTTGCAAGCAGCCCACAAGCCATATGTTGTATAGTTGCAACAGCCCAGAAACATTCAGAGTTGGGCAGTGTACAAATTGAATGAAAGAAGGAATGAATGGATGAATGAGCAGTTACCAAATACAGAATTTGAAGAGACTTCCATTGGGGTAATCTTCACCAGAGCTAAATGGAATATATAAATTGGCATTACAGCTCTTTAATTTAAATGCTACATGTAATTGATTCTGTGTTAGACTGTGTGGATTAAAGTTTAGTAAAAATTAAGTTAACTGAAATCAGAATTGACCACGAATGATATTTTTAGGCTCTTATAACAAAACTTTGTGACAATGTAATAAAGAAAGTAATTAACTGAATGGATCTAAAAAGTTACAAAGGCAAGTACTGAGTATCTCTCAAGCTGATGTTTAGTTTGCAAACACTTTTCCATGGTTCCACCAATCTAACTCAGACCTTTGTTGGTACATTAATATATGGTAGACATAAGCATTAATATATCAAATCATATATGTGACAAAAGATGGTTAAATATATCTATCAGCTATTAGAACAATATCCAGAAATTGGTCACCAGCACTGTGGTTTCTTCAAGTATGGCATGTTTTTATTTTAGTTAAGAGTAGTTCAGTAACTGATTCTAAATTGACTATTGCAATCTTCAAAGACTGGATTATTTAATATAATAAGATAATGAAGTCCTAAACTACTCCACAGCTGTTTGTACTTCAGTCGTGTATTCTCAAGATACGTAAAATGTGTTTAGTCCATTATTAAGTTTCAATTTCTGTTCCAATTATATAAATTACAAGAATGGGATTTCATTTATTGAAAATCAGAAGCTTGCACAATGTCCCTGCAGTGTTTTAATTGACTTTCTCCTTATCTATTACAGTTGAAAAACTGGTAAATCTCTACAGTGATCAAATTTATAATTGTATCCACAGGATTATTCATTCAGTTAGGAATAATATTTCTCCAATCCCAAGGATATCATCTTAAACTCATGACATTTAAGTAATTTTGTACACAATCAACAGCAATATAAAATGTGTATGAATGCATGCATGCGTGTGTGTTTGTGTATACATTTGCAAGCGCATACACACACATATACATATACAAATGTATATCAACTCAACTTTGTATCATTCAAGTTTGTTGAGCTTAACATTCAGGAACTAGAAAAGAGTAATCTGATTCTCAACAGAAAATAGAATTCAATGATCTTTAATTATATCATAATTAAAGCATAATAAAAGCTTTATTATGCTTTTATAACAACTATGCAAAAAAGTCTTGTTAATGTATGAAATGGCACTCAAACTTGGCAGAAATGTTCCAGTCAGCCAACACAGTAGAACTGGTAAGTAATCATTATTAATATGCCAAGGTAGAAACTACTCTAAATAGTTAATTATCATTAGTCAGAGGAAGTTGCAATCTCTTCTTACATCTTTTTAACTCATTGCCTATTTCTTCTGCCTTTCCCAAGTTGAAAGCAAATCTTCCTTTGAGGTTCTCTTGCTATGGACAGTTAGAAAGTTGACATTTTTCAACTTTCCTCTGTTGAGCAATTCTAGGTCCTAAAGTTATCTCCATCAATTTATACTTGTATCTGTCCCATGAATGTAAATACAGAAATAATAAACTTACCTTTCCTTAACTGTATTTTAAGACGCTTCCCTATCCTTTTGGTATTATAGCCAGAGTTCAAAGCGGTATGAACTTTCTGTGGTGTTGATGTCAGACCCAAAGGTGGTTTTCCTGAATTCACATTATGAGGTAGTTGTGAATAAGAGTCCAACGCATCAGCTTGATTGCTCACTTGGGGCATTTTTTGTAAAGTGTGAAGTCCAGAATGGTCGATACCTTTACTGTCTTGATAATGGGAATCAGGACTAAAACGACTGGAATGGTAAGCATTCTTTTCACTTTGTGACAGCTTTATATACTGTTGTTTTCTTGCAGCAGGAACCACATGGAACCAAATGATCGGTGTACGCATGGCTTGACGGAACATATGCTGTGCTCTAGGTTTTAAAATGAATGGAAAATTAACAAATTAAGACTTGCATCTTACTGATGTTAATTAGGCATTATGAAATGACAGACATATTGTTCTAATTGAACTGTAAACCAATAACGATATTTCTTGGAATGATATGTTCACAAATGCTTTTTGTTTCTCAACTATATTTTTCTTAGGACTTTTTTTTTAAATTTCTCTGTTTCTACTAGTTAAAATAACTGTATTATAATTCTTGAGATCCTGGTTGTAATGTTAAAAATAGCATAACACTGCAATTTTGACAATTCTTCTCACCAAGATATTTAATATAAAATACTGTTAATCAACAAACATATGGAGTTACCCTGCATGATGTCCATCTAGCATATTTCAAAATAACATATTAAACTGTATAGCTAGCATTTTCAGTTTACTCAGAATAACAAGCTATGTAAGATGATTTTTCTATTATTTCAACGTTTTTTTTAATCAGTTGTATTTATTGACGTAATTTAAGATTCAATGATGATTAGAATGTATTATTTGAATAAGCTTGTACAACTAATTCAGTTTTTTTTTTCTTCCAGAAGATTGTGGATCTCATCTAACTGAAAAATAGTATGTGGAACAGTGATCCCAAGATCCACCCAGGAGATCTGAGTTTAGCATAGAACAGGGGTAGGCAACCTTGGCTCTTTTATGACTCATGGACTTCAACTCCCAGAATTCCTGAGCCAGCATGGCTAAGCATGGAAACCTCTCCCTTCCCCCTCAGCAGGGCTGGCTCAGGAATTCTGGGAGTTGAAGTCCATGAGTCATAAAAGAGTCAAGGCTGCCTACCCCTGGCATAGAATATAACAGTAAACATAAACAGTATGTTTATGTACTAGTGTTATAGTACAATAGATATGCAAAAAAACCCACTATTTTGCACAACAATTCATAATACTGCACTTATAAGAGATTTTGAATGCAAACTAGATAAGAAACTAGATAAACATAAGAAAGATAATTGTTTAAGTTGTTTTGCAACATAATCTGATCACACAAAAACAACTCTAGTACTGTTTCTTCATCTAAAAGTATACATTAATTAATAAATGCTCAGGTAGTATAAACTATGCATTTTTCTTGCCTTTACATTTATTTTCATTAAAATATTCATGCCAATTATAACTTATTTCACCAAGGTGGAGGAAAAATGCTGGTTCCTGTCAGGCCCCAATGCTCTTCTAAGCTTGTATTCTATTCTATAATTTTACTGATTATGGCACTTATTATATATGCGTAAGTATATTTTGAATACAAAATTGCATATTTTCTTCAACAAGTAAACATAATGATTACCAACCAACACAATGCTTTCCTTTTCCTATAAAGAAGTTGATTCACTAAAGATAACAACCATAGCAGAGGAGAGACCAAAGTAAAATGATCCAGTGAAAGCAAAGCCTTGTAGAAAATTGTTTTGACTTTATAAATTACTTCTACTTTGGAGTTTGAGGTCAAGAAAAACGCAAACATGACACACAGATAAATATTATGCACTTACTGCTCAAATCTTCTATTTCGAAGGTCCCCATCGTTAATTTTGACAATACAGTCATTTTCATGAAAGAGGTTTTCCTGTTCTGCTTTACCACCTTTCTCCAGTCTCTTCACTAATAGACCTAAAGTTCTGGAATAAAACATAAACTATTATTAGATAGGCAATTGCTTTAAGGTACATTTAGATCTTACAAAGAAGCATACACCTCATTCCTAATGTTGAAATGTTCCCATTGTCCTTTAAAACCAACAGTCTCAGATCACAGTTCAAAGTGATTACCATAAATGAACTTTACAGTAGACATTTTACATTATGAGTGCAAGAAAGTTTGTCAGCACAAAGCCCATTAAAATGATTTGTAGTGTGTGTGAAAGAATGCATAGGTGCTATGTACTATCACTAATCATTTCTATGGCTTCTATGCATTAAATTATGGATTACACAGTATTTTTCATTTCCACTCTTCCTAGTCATATCAGAAGAGATGCCTAAATTATTAAGGACTCCTGAAAAGTGGAAGATGTACCAGGTATACTATTTTCAGCAAGGGGAAAAGGAACAACCCAGGTAACCATAGAACAGTCAGCTTAACTATAATGCATGGAAAGATAATACAGCAGGTCATTAATCAATCAATCTGTAAACATTTTGAGAACATTTTTTACCTTAACTTTTTTCTTAATTAAAAGAATGCTTTGAATATGATATATTTTGACTTCAGTAACGAGTCCAATAAATGGTTCTATAATATTTTGATTTCAGTAGTTAAGTAATCAGAAAACACCAGATCAATATCTGGTTTTAAAATCATGAAGTAGCAATTAAGCATCAGATAGTTTAATATAAGGGCAGAAATTGTAAAGCCAGGTCAGACAGCTAATACTATAGAAGACACTGAGAGCAAACTAAGAAAAAATAAGTATATTTAATAGAATACATGCAGAGTTCATTAAGAAACAAAGCTCAAGAACATAAAGGTTGGAGAATACTTAGCTTTTCAATAGAATTTATGAAAAGAAACTTAGCTGAAAAAAATGTCAGCAGCATGATGTGATTGTTCTAAAAAGATAACTAAGATAACTAAGTTGGTGCTAAGTTGCACCAACTGCACTGAACATTCCACACTATAAGAAGTTAACATTCTACTATATTCCACAGATCCATTTTAACCAATGAGCCTGATTCTGGAGAATCACATTTTAAGAAGGATTTGGAGAAAATGAAATTATAGGGATGGCATGAGCAAGAGACTAAAAACAATGAGGACAGCCTTTAGATTATTTAGGCTTGGAAAAAAGATGACCAAAATATTTGTACATGTGTGATTATAGCACATGTCAGCACTTTTCAAGTACTTGATGGAATTAAAGAGTGCAAGATGAGAATTATGATCTAAGTCAATGTTTCCAATTTGACATCCCAGCCAGAGAAGAGGTATGATTCTTCATGAGTGGTGGGCAAGTGTGCACAGCTCCTTTTGTAGCAGTGGACACGCACACCTGTCACTTGCACAAATGGAGCATACACACCTATGCTTGCCTGCTGCTTGCACAAGTGGGGATATGTGCAAGCAGTGGGTATGCTCTTGCCTGCTACTTCCACAGCCCAGTTCTAAAAAGCTCAAGGCCCAGTAGTGGGTCACAGCCCAGGGGTTGGGGACCCCTGATCTAAGTTACAGAAAGGCAGATTCTGTTTAGATGTTAGGAGAAGTTATACTGTGTATTTTTTATGTCCATCAGTTATTTTGTTTACTGTTTTTAAATGCTATATCAGCTGCTGAGAATCAAAATCTGTGAGTTGGTGGACATTCAAGCAGTCTAAATAAATAAAATTTGAAGTGCTTTAACAATAAAATTAATTACTAAAGGAAAAGGAAAATGCCCATTTACCTGATGTGTTCATCCAAGGGGCAGAAACCCAACAGAGATGCTTCAAACATATCCACTGATCAGAGAGTCAGAGTTCACTGTCTATTCTAATTTATATTTATTTATAGTCAAATTTATATTTAGATACATTTCTCTTTTCGATAATTAAGATTATCAAAAAAAAAGACTTAAGGCAAAAACTTGGGGAAATGCTTCTGCTAGAGAAACCAAATCGCATGAACCCAGTTTCCTTCAGATGTGTTATGCCTATAACTCCCAAACTTCCCAACAATTTAAAAGTCTCAATGCAACCAGTATCCAGGAATCTTGATAAATGTTTGTCCTTGACCTTTCCAAGCAAAATTTCTACTCTTAAATTATTTAGATTTCTGCTCTCTCCCAGCTCCATTCCTTAATATTTTAAAGACTTTATACCACATTTACCAATTACAGACTTATTCATTTAAAAATATTAACTTGGAGCCAGACAAAATTAAATGCTCATAGTTCCTTTAAATTAATTAAACGTCTAAGAAATGTTTTAATTTCACATTGGTTTCAATATAGCTAAATTGTAGCTAGCATGCAATGCAAGCTTATGTTAGTCGAGGGGAAAAAAATCTAATTTGGTTGCTGAATTAACCCATTTTTCAGAATTTGCACAATGCCCTTAATCATGAATAAACCAAATGCCAAAGCCATACACACAAAAAAAAGTTAAAAGCAAAGTTAAAGAGAGCAAAGCAGCATATTCAAATTGCTAGATGTTTAACTGGCTAGATAATTATGCTGCAAGAACACAGCAAATGAGTTCAACAAATTTGAAATATACTTTTGGTGCATACAGGCCAGGAACTAGATATTGTTTAGTTAGTTAGTTAAATATAAATTGAGTTGGATTGTACAAGTAAACTGCATTAGTGACCCTGACTGCAAGAGGGAAAATGAATATATGAAGCAGAGAGTAGAAAGAGCACAGAATATAAGGAACAGAGAATCTGAATTGATTTAAAATGTTTTTTGCTGTTTTTTTTTTTTAAAAAACTACCCTTTTATGCACAAGGAACTTTATTTTAAGGTGTGGAAAGGATTTTTTAAAATTAAAGTGAACTCTGTTGTAACAGTTACATTAATTCCATTTTAGTCAGAGAGACATGTGTTTCAGCATATTCGTGGTGCAGTAAATAGGGAGAACTACACTTTTATATGGTACCTAGGATGATCTTCCTTACAGATTGAGGCATTAGCACTGCCTAATGTTATTAAGATACATTACTTTCTTCACACAGCTGGGAGGCAGTTGGGGTCATTCAAATACTCAAAGCAATGATGCATATTAATGCAACCAATTTGAGAAATCAATAATACATTAGCTGATTATTTCCAGTTTTATCACTGATTACAATTTAAATATACAAGAGGAATGTTAGCATATGTGGCAGAGTTTATTTTATTTATTTAATCAAACTAATAAAGCTAGTGAAAAAGCATTGATGGAAGAATTAATCCCTGAACTTTTCAGATACATGTGAATGGTACACATAACCATAACTGAAGAGTACATCTGTTGTGTTTTATTTACAACTGAACTTCCTTCCTGTAAAATCATGTTCATTAAGTGGAAAAAAGAGAGGATTCAGGTAACTCTAGATATGATCTTGGGGAAGAGAGAAGGAAAGGAAATTAGGTATCACAGGAATAGAACTAAGTACTGTGTTCTGGTTAATTAAAATAATGCCAACTTGTGTTCTGGTTAATTAAAATAATGCCAACTAAGTATCTATTGAAAAATGACTTTGTTTTGCAGTCTTGTTACATAGTAATGATGATGATGATGATGATGATGATTTTCTTCCAATAAATTTAATTAACAGAATCTAATAGCTTTTTATTTATTTTTTCTCACAAGAGACTTTTATTAAATATGAAACGCTTCAGGGTTGTAGCCGTCCAGCTACAAGTGGTACTCGTGACCAAGTTTGAGATTCCTACTCTAAACTAAAAACAATTCATCCACCAGCCTATCATATGTCAGCCAAACAAAATACTGTTTCTAATACACCAGGTTAAACAATAACTTTCAGTGAAAGTTCCCTAAGAATACATTACTGCTTAGAACCACAACTATCCAAAGGTCATTTAAGATAAAGCTAGATTCTTATATCTATTCTCTACACAGATTTCAACGTATTATAAAAGTTTGTCTTTTATAAAAACTTTTAGCACTATAATAAAAATCATGATCAAGAAATAATTACACAATAATGCAGACAAATGTGAATTTGTTCATAGGGGAATAAAAAAAGTGTATGTGTTTTTCAATCTATTTTTTTTCTCATTTCAGTTATTTAAATTGAGGAATCCATGAAGCCATTGTTTCACCTAAAGTTCTCCATTCCTTTTTATTATTTTGCAGCTGACATTTTTCTGCTGTTCAACTCTTTTGGCTCAATGGCCAAATCATGTAAAAGCCACTGAGTTCCTACTTCCCTTTTATCTAGACCAGGCATGTCCAATTTGTGGCCCACAGGCCACATATAGCCATGACAGCTAGTAATTCAGCCCCACGATTGTAAACTTTTAACATTATTATGTGACATGTATATATTAACTACAGGTAACCCCCCACATATGAGCATTTATTTAGTGAGATTTTATAAAAATGAGGTTATTCAGAAAGGGTACTTACATTAGAAATTAAAAAACAGGCCTCTGTAGCCATGTGACTTGGATTCAGTCTCGGCTGCTGTGGTGGCCATTTTAACTCTATGACTTGCCTGGGCTGGTTCGGGCCTATGAGAAGCCAGAAGTGGGGTATTTTTTGTTTTTGTTTTGTGTGCCTGGTCACATGGCCAAACATCCAGTGATTTTTGTGGCCAGCACTGACCATTTGTTTTTGTTTTCTTGGAGCTATGTAGAAGATCTGCTGCTTGCTGGGCTTGACTAGAGAGCTAGATTTACTTCTGTAAGTATTTTAAAATATTCTTTTTAAATATTCTTTTTTGTTACTCTATAGTACTGTACTATATAGTTTGTAATCACTTTGATAACTGCTCTGCTTTTTATTGTGTTTGTAAGTACAGTACTTTGCAAGATTGTTTGTTTGCATTTACCTGAAACTTATAGCATGTGGCTGCTGCTACCTCCTCTCCCTAGCACAGACCCACCAGAGATTCTGCTGATGTCTTCCTGGAAGGAAATCCACCACCCACCCCATTTTGGATTTTGCCTGAAGAGGCTTATGTTGATCAGGGACAGTGTTGTTTTTTTTTAAGGTTTTAAATTTAAATTACCTCCAGAAGTTCTGGGTATTCCCTCACTGGAGGCTTTTAAGAAGAGACTAGATAGGCATTTATCAACAATATAGTACAGTACTATACTCTCTTGTGAGAGCAGTGGCTTAGACTAGATGACCTCAAGGTCCCTTCCATCTCAGTTACTGTTGCAAATTGACACCCCCATCTCCCTCTGTTTTCCTGCAATCAGACAGTTCTCTACACACCTCTAAAGAAGCTTGAGCTGCCTAGCAACAAATGGTTTTTTAAAAAAGCCTGCTGCCTGCTTGGGAGGCAATTTACAGTACTGTATTTCCTGAAACTGGAAACAGCTGTTTGGTAGCCGGAAACAGCTGGCAGCAGCAGCAGAAAAAATCTCTCAGTTCAGGCAGCCATCAGAGGAAATAGTAAGTCAAATCTTCATTCATTTAATGACCCATTTGATTCAATTAATGACTTTGATTTTAAAATGTTGTAATATTGAGTCTGATTCATTTGATGAGATTTTTGACTTACAAACCTAATGGGCAGGCTCTATTAGGCTCATATTTCGGGGACTACCTGTATATATTTTATATGTGGCCCAAAACAATTCATCTTCACTCAATGAGACCAAATTATTGGACAGTCATGATCTACACAAATGTCTATTATTTCAATTGATCCAACTAAGATGAAAGTATATGCTTATGCCATATACTAGGAAAAGAAGGGTGGTATTTGCCAATGAGAATATAAATGTAATCAGGTAGTTTTTAATATAAGTAGTAAAAGAAAGAATAGATGTATATTACTAAGAAAGCTAAGAAAGAGCAATATTCCAAAGAAATAAATTATATCCAAAATGTAAAGCCTTTCTTTAGTTCAGTGGTTCTCAACCTTTCTAATACTGTGACCCCTTAATACAGTTCCCCATGTTGTGGTGACCCCCAAGTGGGTGTGGCCATCAATAAGAGGGAGTAGGACAGCTAGGGAAAAGGGGAAAAAATGGCGGACAGTGTGGTTTGGCGACCCCTGTGAAATGGTCATTCGACCCCAAATGGGGTCCCGACCCACAGGTTGAGAACCACTGCTTTAGTTGAACTCTGCCTCCAAAGACTATATAGACTATATAGACTCATGGAAACAGTGCAGAAGCAATTTTAAATTTCTCAATCCACCCTAAACCCTGATATTCCCAGAATCTCTTTCAACCAAATACTAACCAGACCCAATCCTGCTTAGCTTTCAAACAAAGGCAGTCTTGGTGCTGAATCTCCTAAATCTCACTGTTCATTTACTGATCCTATTATCCATATTTAACAGTATCAGTAGAATGGTAAGAATGATAAGCAGAATTTCACTTCCAAAAAATCATGGAATTCCCAGATTAGCATTGTAATATTCAGACTATAAAACACTATTGATTATTCCAAAAATTGTGCAATAAGTATCTTTTTTTATTTACTAATGCCGTATTTTCCGGCATATAAGACGATTCTAAACCATGCAAATCTTCTCCAAAGCCAGGGGGGTCATCTTATACGCCAAGTTGTCTTATACGCTGAAAAATACTGTTTTTTGGCGTATAAGATGACTTTCTAACCATGCAAATCTTCTCCAAAGTCGGGGGTCATCTTATACGCCAATTTGTCTTATATGCCGGAAAATATGGTAGCTAAGATAAAGATATCAGCAATTAATAAAATACGTTCTCTCCCAGTCTGTGGAAAAAATGTTTTCCACAAAACTGTTTGTGGTACAAAAAGATTGGGGACTGCTGTTCTACAGAATAATATATCAGGATCCATAACTGAAATAAAAGATATTTGATCAAATTATATATTCACTTCATTGCTAATAGGTCATTTTTAGAAAATATGCACATTCACATTTTACAGAAATAAGCTGCCTGACCTTCAAAAATTGGATAAGGTATTCTGAGTCTTTTTATTGCTTTATATTATTCTAAAGATATAAAATGCAGTGACTCTCATGTGTTTTTGAACTGCTCACAAGTAAAGAGAAAATTCAATATTTTAGCTAAGTTCTACTTTCTGATCCAAGCATTTCAGCATTTGTACTTGGAATTCTGATATGAAGAACCACTATTCGATGAACCAGTTTGGTTTGGTGGTTAAGGTGCTGGCCTAAAAACCAGGAGCCAGGAATTTCTAGTCTACTTTAGGCAGTCATTTTCTCTCAGCCCAACTAACCTCACAGGGTTGTTGTTGTAGGGAAAATAGAAGGAGCAAGGAGAATTAGGCATATTTGCTACTTTCAGTTATTTATAAAAATAATAAAGACAGATAAAATAAATAAAAGTAGAGCTGCATTTGATGTTCTCTTCTAATTTTTCACAGAAAATTACTATAAGAAAATTTTCAACTTTTTTCAGAGTATCTTATGAAGCTGTACCTACTTCAGCATTATATTTAAATGAGCGCCCAGAATGAATTATTTTTAAATCATAATCAAAACATTCTGTGGAACAAAAACTCTTCTATTTATCAAGAATTTTAAAAAGCAGATAAAATATATTTCCTCTACAATGACATTGGCTTTTAATCACATCACATCAGTTTATAATCCAGGATTCTCTTTATAAATGTATGTTTGGATCTTTCTCACCAGGATGATGTAAAATATAAATGTTTTTTTTCTCTGTTAATGGTAATCCATTTTTTTCTACTTCTCCTCAAATCCTACTTACGTTACTGAGGAAGTGTCAAGAGTTGGATTTTATACTACAAACTTGCAAATTTTGGCACAGAATCATACTTGTGTCAGCTCATTTAATTTTTCAAGTACATTTAATCACAGAACCTGAATACCGGAATGCTATCTCAATAAAGTAAGCACTGATATTTTAATTCAGTTCCCTGACAGTATATGGCATAAGGCCATTATTGGTAATATATTCATTTTACTCATCACCTGGTTCTTTCCTTGTTTTTTGGATGTGGTGCAATATAAGACACTCATGTTCAGCAACAAATCAAAAAAATTGTGCTATATTTTATATAACTAACTTTATTTAATATAACCTTGACTGTATTTTTTTTCTTCCATGTTTGAGTGAAAAACTACCCACAGAATGTTGTCATGATTTCAGATGCTGCTAGTTTATACATTATATTCTTGCAACTAGCAAAAAATTGTGCACCATTTCTAATATCAGACTAAGGTGAAACAGAAACTTTTTATGAGGCTGTGACAGAAATAATTTACATTCTTGTAATCCAGCTTCATATTAGGACAGAATATTATAACTTTTTTATATATAAATTAGAACTAGTTCTTGACTAACTTAGTTATATTCAGAAAAGATTTCTTAAGGATCCAACAAAAAGACTTTCTGGTGAAAGAATCATGTTTCTATTTCAAATAGATACACTATTCTTATAAACTATAAGATGTCCATAGTTGTTTTGGAAATAGGCAATCAATCAACCAATCAACCTACAAATCAATCAATCACATAAAAACAAAAAACAACATATCTAAGGAAATGAATCAATTAAAAACCTATACGGTACATTACCTTCCGCCTCGAGCACTGAAAGGAACTACATGGATCCCCAAAGGTCCACCATCATTGGAAACTTCAACGAGCTTTACCATATCACTGTGAGACAATGATGAATGAAGGAAAGTGAACATGGACCAAAAAATGACCACACACTTCTACAAAAACACAAACCCAAAACTAAACACAGATATTTGAAAACTAGTGAAGATAAAAGCAACATTGATTCTTACATACCGCAGTAATAATCTGACAGCATGAAAGAAAATCCATAATAAAAAATAATAATTTCATTAGTTATTCAAGTGAAATGCAGTTATGTATCTATAAGCCAATATAAAAATTGCATTATATCCAACAATGAAAGAAGTTTGAGACTGGCTTTTTGAGGAATTAGGTATCAAACTAGGGCTAAATCAAATTGTCCTAAAGAAAACAAAGTTCCATTTCTTTTTGCTTTGCAGTATTTCCATAAATAACTTTCAAAATGACATAAATATAAATTGAAACAGTATTGTAGATTGCTGAAGAGCCTATCGTGTTTCCCCAAAAAATATTTATTTATTTATTTTGCCTCAAAAAGAGGCACCAGGTCTTATTTATGAGGGGTGTCTTTTATACTCACCTCCAGAACCGACAGCCCTGACCAGCTGGTCCACTTCTTCTGTGGTCCAAGGAGCAGTTTCATTCTGCAGTTGCATTCCAGCCTGCATTGTGCAGTCAGGCATAAGCAGCCGAGTATTGAGCTATGGACTGAATCCATAGTTCAGTTCTTGGCTGCACAGGCCTTCCGGAAAGGCCTCTGATTGTGAAATGCAGGCCTGGCTGTAGAAGACATTGCAGAAGAAGTGGGCCAGCGAGAAAGGTAAGTGGGTGCAGCTCCATCCCCACTCCTGCCCTAGCTTGATTTTTAGGTGTGTGCCTTGCCCCAGAACTAGGGCTTATTTTGGGGGTAGGGCTTATATTAGGCCCATCCCCAAAAATCAAGTTTCAGGGAAAGACGGTAAATATATATTGTCTTGGCATAATTATCACTGTAATTATTTACAAATTTTATAGATTTTATAAATTAATAATTTGTACTGAGAGTTGATAATATAAATCTCTCAGTCCTTTGGCTCTAATTAAAACATAAACAACTTTTCTTAGTTAACATTAAATCTGGATGAATTAATCTGCTTCAAACCACTGACTTTTCTAAAAAAAACCTGATCCAATGTAACATTCCAGATCAATCTGAATTTAACTGTCAAACTGAAAATTATCAGAATGATATGCAAGTGACATTCAATTCAATGATTCCATTTAATCACTTTAATAATTCTATAAGAATCACATCAATGTCTGAATTTGCAAATGCAATATTTAAACCATATCGCAAAATGGATTTTTGCCCTGGTATGCTGAACATTCACTGTCAAAAGTTCTCATACATCACCCATATAACAATATTCTGACACTGTTCTAAACTATTTTTAGCTCAAATTTATCAAAGTTAAACAATCATAATTTATGAATAGATCTAGATTTGTAAAACAGCGTATTCCATTCCACTATAATTTCCATTCAGCTATAATATTATTTGGCAAATCCTTATGCAGCATACATCAAAACATATAATATAAATTAATTTGCTGTCATTTCATGTATAACTACTCCTTTTAACACATTATTTTCAAAGCCTCTTTGAAATAGTTTTCATCAGTTGTTTTTATTACCCACTTTTGTGTCAGGGATGATGAAATAATGAAATTGTATGTGCAGACTGGGCTTTCCTTGCTGAATATCGATATTAGCTTTAGGGGGGGGGTTGAAATAAGAGAAATCTGGATTGCATATTAATTGATCAATACTTATATGCAATCACACGTGACATGTATAACCATGCATTACATTATTGATATAAGCTTAGCTATGGAAGTTATGATCGGGATACAGCCAACTTCTTATAAGAGTACATTTTTAGCTTATTGCAATAAGGAAGTTGTTATTCAAATAATGAAAATAGTTCTCTTTGTATCATTCAAATTGAATTTTTATTTATAAATTATTAATTTCAAAACATCTGTAATTTTTTTTATTTAATTGCTTTAAGAATGTGAAACCAGCTTATCTTTTCTAATCAGAAGCTAAACTATGTTCTGCATTATAACCTCTGGAATTTTCAGTGAGCTGAACAGTTTTATAAACTTGGCATATCTGAATGGCAACTCTTACTCCCAAATGCAGCATTAAAAACTAATTTTTAAATATGAAAAATATTTCAAAAGCAGCTTGTCAGATATCACAGGGAGGAAAGTGTTACTTTTTCTACTTTTTAAATTCTACTACAGCTTTTCAGTTCTTTTTTTTGCAAGGAATATTTAAACATTCCTCCAGTCTTCTTGTAATTTGAATGTAGTTCATTTCCTAATCATTCTGTCTCACCCTTTCTTTGTGCCATTTGCTTAGTTCTCCTACTTAGCTATCCCTCCCAAAAAGGGCTTTTCCAGATAAACTGATTTGTCTCTCATTCTAATCCTTTCCAGCCAGCACGCTTTACAATGTAGTTTTAAAATTATGTTGCAGTCACAGCAAATGGAAGCCACAAAAGAAGGAAGATCTAGAAAATGATCAAATTGACTTCTCATTATTTGTTCAATGATTTTCTCTTTCTTTCTACACTGCTTGAATTATCCAATTTCCACTTATTGTGTTAAAAATGAGCAAGTCCAATAATAATCGTTTATATGTCATAATGGATTCTTTCCAGATGTATTCTCAAGCACATAACTGTAACTATCAACATTACACGTAATGGTTAGGAAAAGATACCAATTTCACAAGTTGATTTTTATATTTTGGCACGCGTTGTGTCTTCCATTTATTAGAAAATAACAGATATCATCATAAATGTCCAAAATCCTCCAAAGCATTTAGATTTTGAGGAACAATTCTGTAAAAATTTACTGACAATCTCTTTTCATGAGAACTTTATTCACTAAGATTAAAGACGTATCCGCAGACCCATAATGCAAAGATATAGCTTTTTGGACAAGCCTTTAAAGCTGGAAAGGTAGAACAAAGAAATGAAGAAGATCATCAGCAACAAAATAGGTAAACTCAATTATAGCAGTAAGTATATTATAGGGCAGTGATGGCGAACCTTTTAGATTTTGCAACCCAAAACCACTTAGGCATTGGCTGGGTGTGGCCCATTGGGTGGATGTGCCCATTGGGTGGGCGTGGCTGCAGTGGTAACGGCAGACTGGGTGAGACTAAAAAGTTCAATCAATCAATTCCAACTTTGCAAGGTTTTTTTCCCCGTGAGAAGTTGAAATTGACTGATTGATTGAACCTTTTTTTTTTTTTGCACACAGCGGCAGAGGCCTAAAGCGAAAAGGTTTATAAAACCTAGCTGAAGGCCTAGGACTAGGGCGACAGCGCGCGTGCCCACAGAGAGGACTCTGAGTGCCACCTCTGGCACCCGTGCCATAGGTTCGCCACCACTGTTATAGGGAGATTATTATTTGAAAATCCACATTAGTATCAAGCAGAAATCAGGTGTGGCTTGGCGCAACCAAAGAGACAGAATCCAGGTTATCTCTCTTAAAAATAAATGTTTATTCAGCTGAACAAAAACCCATAAGTTTGGAAGAACCTTGGATGTAGTTTGAAGCAAGTATATATAGATTTCTTGTTTTTACTTAGTTACATAAGAGGAAGCCAGCATACAGTTCTCAGTGAGGTAAGATATAGAAATTACAAAAACATTTGTGCATGCATCTTATGGTCTTAATCATGTGCTTAGCTCACAAGCTCATGGTTTCTTGGAACTTTCCACAACACCAAGGGCTTGCTAATTTCAGCCATTTCAACATAAGAACCTTTTAACCCAGCGGTTCTCAACCTATGGGTCGCGACCCCATTTGGGGTCGAACGATCATTTTACGGGGGTCGCCAAACAACGCGATCCGCCATTTTTCCCCCTCAGGGGGCAGCGCCACACATGCGCGCCGCATGACCAGGGGTCGCTGTATAAAAAGGTTGAGAACCGCTGTTTTAACCAATCATCAGAGTTATCAGAATCCTGATCAACATTAGGGACAAGTCATCATGAAAAAAAATCTATGTGGTCACTGAGAACTGACACCAACTTTATGATGCACAATCAGTCACATAATCAAAAAAGAGATATCTGAAAAAAGAGACCCCGAACGGGGTTGTGAAAATTATTTTCTACATAGTCAAAACTAAACAACTAGAGGTTTTTTACAAAAACAAGGAACAGATGAAACTCTGTGCCTTGCCCAAAGAACTTCTGCTTCTAATCCTTTACCTAAAATGGATAGGAGAAAAAGGTTAAACAGAATCTGCGCCTCATACACAGAAACTGCTGTAACGGCTTTATGTCTACTTGAGCTTTCATGTCTTAAAAATATATATTCTTGCAATATTTTGCCTTCTTAGCCAAGAGAAACCTGACACATGCATTTGATTGGAGGATATTTGAACCTGTATCCAAATATTAATATGATGATTAGACTGGAATTGGCACCAGGCAACAGTGCTGAATCCTATAGCTCATATGTGCACAGATGTCCAGGATTTCTAACCTTGTTGACCCAGCCAAGAACAGATTCAATATGAGTTTCTGTAAATCAGAGGTCTGCAGACCAGTTGGGAACTGGGTCGTGTAAGTGGCAAGCAAGTGCACGAAGCTGTATTTTCACACGCACTGCTTTAGGTTGCGCACAACAAACCATCCCCCTTCCCTTCCTGCCGGTCCATGGAATTGGAAAGATTGGGGGCCGCTGCTTTAAATTACATCTCATCCCTCGTATCATCTGGTTCTTCTGATGAGAAATGTCTAGTATGGCTTCATACCTATGGGATACCTCTCATTTTGTTCAGATCACACAAGCCCTACAACATAACAAGGTAGCGCTTCAGTGGTATTGATTCTAACAAATCATACAGATTTTGTCCATGGAGATCTATATTGAATCTGATCCTTCACCTCGTCCAAAGGTACAGTCATCACCATTGTAACTGACTTCATCCACTTTGCTAGTACTTATTCTATCTGTCCTTCCACTTTTCCCAGACCTAGAGTTTTCTTTAGAAAGCTAAATCTTTGCATAATGTGTCCAAAGTAGGATATTTGAGTAAACTCATTTGTACCCAGAGTGAGAACTCTGGGTTGATTTTTTAAAAATCTATTTGTTCATTTTTTTAAGTGTCTTCTTCAATACCAAAGTTCGAAACTATCAAGACTTTTTCTGAATTTAACTCTTAATATTTTAAATATTAAATAGTTTTAAAAAGCCATAAACTTACTCTAACGAATAGGTGATGTTATCCAAACCTGCATCTGCATGACCCACTGGTTCTACTCTGCTCTCTTCTTCTTCTGTCCCATCATCATCCTAGTAATAGCAAAAGAGATAACCAAATTTAAGCACAAGTGATGTGTAAGAATACTCACACAATTTTGATACACTTAATTATTAAAATATTTTGCATCTTATATGGCATACAGATAGTCTTTGGGTTATACAGCATGGAATGGCTAAGGCATTGGCTAGAAACCAGGAAGTGGTAAGTTTTAGTCCCACTTTAGGCATGAAAACTGGCTAGATTATCTTGGGCCAGTCACTTCTCTCAGCTAACCCCAACTCACCTACGGATTTATTATTGTGGGACAATAGCAAGAGGAAATAAAATTGGTAAGGTTTGCCATCTTAAGCTGAACATGAAACAAACAGGCAGGATAAAAATTTTAAAAATGCACTTGTATAACACAACATCACATAATCACATGGTTTAGCGACAATAATCCCAACAGTCATTCTTGCTATTATAACACCAGGACTGTGCAAGTTGTTAACCAAGGATCTCACATGACCATGATAAGGGAAAGCAGGAATCCCAGGCAAGCAGGCCAGTGGGTGAGCCTCGTGGGTAAGAGTTATGGGTGGGTGGGCAGATGCCATAGGCAGGCAAGTGCACAGATGAGAGATAAAGAAACAGATATGGGACTGACTTGGAACCTCCTGCTGGCTTCTCTACTGACTTTGTGGGAGACTGGCAGGGAAGGTTGCAAATGGTGATCACATGTCAGCTGCAGTGGTTGTAATTGCAAGTGCCTAAATCACAATCAGGAGACTGCTGTGATAGCCACAACTTTGAAAATCAGTTGCAAGTGTCCTTCATAACTTTTAATGATCAGCTAATAAGGGGTTATAATCTGAGGACCACTTGTTCATCAATATGGTGCTTGAGTGGATAGCTTCACCTATAAAAATAAATTTATGAATATTTTTAATATCACCTTTCCCATTATTCAATGCCATAATTTATACTAGGAAAACAAGATTAATTAATTTAGTGTTACACTAGAAATAGCAGAATTAAAACATATAATCCAAACTGCAAAACCAAAATTGAAGTAGCAAAATAGTAAGAACAAGAATTACAGGTGATATTCATGAATTACACCTAACATTATGTGAGATTGCCCTAGAAGATAATCCAGAAATTCCATTTAGAACAAAATACTGTGCTTTATAAATTCATTGCATCAGTTTAAGCATATTCTTCATTGGCTATCAATTTCAGTCCTAATTAAGGGTCTTGTAATTAATCTTCCAAGCCTTGACTGTTCAGAACAATTGCTGTAAAATCAAAATAGAGCATTTCAAGTTCAACAACTTTGAATTTGAAAATGCTTTGCACACAATTATAATAAAATACATGGACTGAAGTAAGAGAAAAACACAATGAAACCACATAATATATATTTTAAAAATTTAAGGATTTTTTAAATTAGTTTACAATATAAAATACAAAAATATGAAAACAAATAATAGGAAAAGGGTAGGGGAAAGGGAAGAGGAAAGTGTAGAGAAAAAGGAAAAAAGAAAAAAAGGCATTGACTTCTAATACCTTTTGGTGCAGTAGAATAAGGAGTTAACCTCAACTTTTTTGCTTTTACATAATGGTATAAACTAGCCATTTCTATAACAACAAATCTATCTAATCAGTAAAATCCAAAATCAAATTTAAGAAAAATTTAAGCAGTGACAGAATATAGAATTTGGTGACAGGGTATGACATTAAACATGCCATTAATTTTTAGTTACATCACATTGATTGAAAAGGTGTGTTGTCTTACCTGAACGCCTTTTCTCAGCATAAGGAATGTAGAATCAATTAGACCAATCAATCAAAGTTGCCACGCCCCTGCTGGGCCTGACCATGCCCCAGTTTCGAAGAGGGCGAAGCCAATGATTGTGTGATGTGTTAGTTCCCGGACTGCTGACACTGACCTGATTGCTGAAGTGAAAGGGGAGGGGGTGGATTCTACATTCCTCATGCTGAGAAAAGGCATTCAGGTAAGACAACGCCCCTTCTCCAGCATGTAAGGAATGTAGAATCCATGAATGGGACATACCAAAACCCATTTGACCCCATGGGTGGGACGCAGGCCAGTCAAGTGTCGTTGCTGAATTGGACCACCTGTTGTAAGACCCAGCAGCCGAAGGAGGCCTCTGCAGAAGCAAATTTTTCAAGCATGTAATGACGGATGAAGGGGGAAGGAGATGACCACATCGCCGCCCTACAGATGTCAACTATGGAAGTTTGAGTTTGCCACACAGCTGATGCGGAAGCAATGTGCATGGAATGTGTCGTTAGACGGCCTGGAACTGGCAAGGAGCTGACCTGGTAAGATTTGGCAATGCAGGCCTTAATCCACCAGGCAATAGTAGAAGAAGAAACCTTCTGCCCTTTCGAACCCGTACGGAAGGAGACAAAAAGTGCCTCAGATTTATGAAAGGAAGCAGTCCTCTTAAGGTAACAGCGCAGCACCTTGTGTGCATCCAGGGAGTGCCATTGCCGTTCCAGGACATGTGAGGGATTGGGACAAAAGTCCAGCAACACGATCTCCTGTGCCTGGTGAAACAATGTGTTTACCTTGGATACAAACAAGGGGTCCAATCCCAGTACCACCCTGTCATAGTGGAAGGTACACAGGTCCTCTCTAATAGAAAGAGCTGCCAGTTCCGAAATGCCCCTTGCCAATGTGATTGCAACCAAGAAGGCCACCTTATGAGACAAGAGACAAAGACTGCAAGATCTGATGGGTTCAAAGGGGGATCCTGTAAGAGCCTGTAGAACTCGGGGTAACTCCCAAGTGAGATAAGGATGGACTACAGGAGGTCTGCGGTTTGTAACTCCCTTGATAAAAGATTGAACCCTCGGATGATGAGACAATGGCACGGAATTGGCACAGGTGAACACCGTGGAGAGTGCTGCCACTTGCCTACGGATAGTGCTGGGTGCTAGACCCATATCCACTCCCTCCATGAGATACTCGAGAATTCTCGGGATAGTGAGAGAAGAGATGGACAAACTATTGTTGTCACACCAGTTACAGAAGTTTCTCCAAGTGGCACCATAAATCCGATTTGTCGCCGGTCGCCTTGAAGCCTGATATCACTCTGGGGGAGTAAGATCCTTGTGTCAGGAACTGGCGTTCAGATGCCAGACGGCTAATTGGAGCCACTGCGGGTCTGGGTGTTGTATGACCCCTTACGTTAAAATTATCTACTCTGGAGGAATTCTCCACGTAGGAGCTACGTCGCGGTACCGTGGTCGCCTCGGCCAGTGTGGGGCCACAAATATCAGCTCCGCTTGTTCCTGCAACAGTTTTCTGATGACAGCCAGAATCAGAGGGAAAGGTGGGAAGGCATATAGTGGACCCTCCGGCCAAGGACTGCAGAGGGCATCTGCTCCCTCCGATCCCTGAGAGGGGAACCGAGAGAGAAACCGGGGAAGTTGGGCGTTAGCTAGGGAAGCGAATAGGTCAATCTTGGGCAAACCGAACTGATGCGTGATCTCCGGAAGAGGCGGGGTGCAAATACCACTCTGAATAATCTACCGTAGAGTGACTCAGATAATCTGCCTATCTGTTCTCCACTCCCGAGATGTGCTCCACCTTCAGGGACAGAAGATTCCTCTCCGCCCATGATCTCAGTAGCTGGGCCTCGGACATCAGGGCCTGAGATCGAGTTCTGCCCTGTCTCTTTACATGGGCCTTTGCCATGTTGTCCATCAGGACCAACATGTGGCAACCCGCAATCGTCTTGCAGAAGTGATGAAGTGCCAGATGTATAGCTCTGAGCTCTAGCCAGTTGATGTTCTGCTTGAGGTCCCGTTGGGACCACCGGCCCTGGGTGAACTGAAGTTGGAGGTATGCACCCCATCCAAATAGGCTTGCGTCCATGGTCAAAGTTACTCAAACCAGTTCTCTGAAGAGAGATCCCTTAGACAAAGCCAGGGATAGCCATCAGAGAAGGGATGTGAGTTTCTGTGCTGGGACCCGTACCCTCTGGGGAAAGGAAGCTATGCCCCACCTCTGGTAGGGAAGCAAAAACCACTGGATCTGTCTCATATGGAGTCTGGCCCAGGGCACTAGGGCAATGCAGGAAATCAGTTTTCCCAACAGCTGTCAGAGCATGAGTAGGGTCACCCATTTTTCCCTGCGCACCTTGAGGATCAGTGTGCGAATGCTGACCTGACGTTCCTGAGATAAGAAAACCTGGCATAGGTTGGTATCTATTATTGCGCTCAAGTGTAACAGCCGGTTGACTGGAGTCAAGTGGCTCTTTTGGAAGTTTAGCAAAAAAACATGATCCTGAAGTGTCTTGATTGTTAGTGCCATGTCCGACCGAGCGTTCAGTGCTGAGGATGATTGGATTAGAATGTCGTCCAAGTAACACTGAATGCGGACTGGCACCAATCTGAGCTGAGCGGCAAGAACCGCCAGGACTTTGGTGAACACCCTGGGGTCCAATGATAGGCCAAATGGCAAAGCCTTGTATTGGTAATGATGGTTGGAATACCTGAATCTGAGCAACCGTCTGTGCCCCGGATGTATGGGAATATGAAGGTATGCTTCTGTAAGATCTATTGATGTCAGGAAATCCCCCTGATGAATGCTGGCCAAGATGGAGTGAAGAGTCTGCATCTTGAACTTGTGATATACTAGGTACGAATTTAGAACCTTGAGATCGAGTATTGCCCTCCATCCACCCGAGGCTTTCGGAACCATGAAGAGGATGGAGTAGAAACCCTGTCCCAATTGATCCGAAGGTACCTGCTCTATGGCCTCTATGTTTAGTAGATGTTGAATGGGACCCTGCTTTACAGGATTTCGTGACAGAAGGAAGGCGATAAACCACCGAGGGTGTGTATGTTAAGAACTCCAGGGATAGACCGTCCCTGATTGTGTTGAGAACCCAAGTGTCCATGGTGGTGTCTTCCCATCTGTGGAAATAATAAGCCAGTCTGCTGCCTATGGGAGGAGTCCGTTCTAAGTCATTATGACCTATGGAAGGGATGACCTCCCCTACCACGAAAGGGC